GTACTCATTTGAGGATGAGTCGACCTTTGGGGAGGCCCAAGATCGGTTCAGATAATCGTCGCTGGGTGTTGGCCGTGAGCGAGAATCGAACCCGGGTCGCCAGGTTCGTAGCGTAGCGCGCTAACCGCTACACCGCCGCTCCCCAATTGCATTACAAACACACAACACACACACAACACACACACAAACACGCGCGCGGTAGCGTGTTAACGCGAACACAATTATACAAAGAGCATTAACACAAAGGCGCGCACGCGTATCGGCTGAATACAGTAGACACACACGTGCACAAAGATAAAGATCCCTCCCCTTCACCATATAGGCTGCACAAACAGATGGGGCAAGTGCTGTGAGAGTCTCGTTAGCCGGGACGGCGCACGCTCGCCTAAGTGTGGGCCAGAAATCACGGCCGTCCGCCTTTGTCTTTCCAGTGTTGACGCTTACAAACTCATTGATTAAGAACTGTTTTTGTGTGTGTAGTGTTGTGTGTCCTTACCCCCCGCACCGAACTGATTAGCGCGATTGGCTACGTACGGTGCGAAAGAAGTTTAAACATGCATCCGCACACTTGACTGTGAACCCGGAGTTCGATTCCTGGCCACGGCTAACATCAGTGGCGAGCGATGGCCGACGCGGCCGTGATGCTCTCCTTTCACTCAGCCGCGACGACCATTGTGGTGAAGTATGGCCAAACATACGGACGTACGCACGCACGAAGCAGGTACTCATTTTAAGAGCCGAGTCAAGTTCAAGTTGATGTCGTGTAACCATTGCGGGAAACTCAAGAGACAAAGGATGAGTCTCGTTTTGCAAGAGCGGCCTGCGTCGCAACATTTGTCAACAACAACAAAACCGATCTGAACAAATTGAAATGTGAACACGGTCACGAGGATGGTTGAAATCTGCGCCAAAAAAATAAAAATAGCCAAGCAAGGGCATCGCCGCCGCATCGGACGTCAAAAAAAACATTGCCACAAAACGTCGCCCGACGTTAAATAGTCAATTCCCGACAGCGTAAATAATACGTTTTACGTAGAATAAGTTTCGTAAAAATTAAAAATAATTTTAGCGATCGCAGTACACACAATAATTTCGGGTTGCAGAAATATTAAACGGACACAGTCTAACCAGTTCGCGAATCCATGAATAGACGATGAGATGCCGTGGATTTGCTCTCCGCCACACCGGTGCGCTGTACTAGTAACGAATTGGCACGTTCTGTTTAATGTGTCAAACCTTCCTAATTGGCTGTGTCGGGTGGTGGCGGGTTTCACGACACAGAGAAAGCCCCTACGTGTATTATGGATGATATCGGCCGCCAAAGACCACCGCGTGTTATAAACAGGCAAGGATATAACCGCTCCGATAATCCAGCGGTCCGCGTTTCCTCCCCGTGACCCGCGATGCAGTCGGACCTGAGGTGCCGTGCTGGATTCCTCCCCCGTAACCCCAAGCACATCGCCTCGGCGGCGTTCGCGAACGAATTCAAATGAAATTCACGTGCACATGTTCTGTTAATTAAACTTGAATTACGTATTACTGTCGTCGTGATTTATTTTTCAAAGCACTACGCATTGCAAACAAACAAAAACTATATAAGGCCTCCGGGCTTTGAACTATGTAAAGAGTTTAAACATCGGAGTTTCAGATAGATGAGATGGACAGGCAAGGCGGAGGCCCGAGTCTGGCTCCGATCACCACCGCCACCACCACCGATGTTCGCCGTAGCCCGGGAATCGAACTCGTACGGTCAGGTCCGTGTCGCGCCGCACACGCATGCAACACACGCGGCAAGACACGCGCACAACACACGCACGCACACAGACAAAGACCCCCCCCCCCCCACCCCCGTGTAGCCTTAACAGACTGTTGGGGCAAATGCTGTTAGCGAGCACCTATGAAGGCCAGAACGGCACACGAGGAGGTGGGCGGCCAACACCACGCGCTCACACTCACACACACAGACACGTGTGTTATCTGGATAACATGCGTGTAATCACATACAGAGTTACATACACGTGTTCACACTCTGTACATACATACATACACACGCAGATATAGAAAAATGCACGTGTTAACCAATATTTTTTGTACACAAATCGCACACACAGCACCTATGAAGGTCGGCACGGCATAAGAGGGTGGGTGGGTGGTCAGCACCACGCCCGGCCTCCCTTTGTCACGATCGTGGCGGTGTTTACAACACCGCAACCAGGTACCCATTGGAGGCTGAGTCGACTTATCGGAGGCCCAGGACCGGTTCAGATAATCGTCTCTGGTTGCTTGCCGTGAGCGAGAATCGAACTCGGGTCGTCGTGCTTTTAGTGCAGACCGCAAACCGCTACACTACCGCTCACAAACACACCCACACACCTGGACAACACGTAACCCACACACCTGGACAACATGTGACCCACACACCTCTACAACACGTGACCCACACATCTCTACAACACGTGACCCACACACCTGGACAACACGTAACCCACACACCTGTACAACACGTGACCCACACACCTCTACAACACGTGACCCACACACCTCTACAACACGTGACCCACACACCTGTACAACACGTAACCCACACACTTGTACAACACGTGACCCACACACCTCTACAACACGTGACCCACACACTTCTATAACACGTGACCCACACACCTCTACAACACGTGACCCACACACCTCTACAACACGTGACCCATACACCTGTGCAACACGTGACCCACACACCTCTACAACACGTGACCCACACACCTCTACAAAACGTGACCCACACACCTCCACCACACGTGACCCACACACCTCTATACCACGTGACCCACACACCTCTACAACACGTGACCCACACACCTCTACAACACGCAACCCACACACCTCTACAACACGTGACCCACACACCTCTACAACACGTGACCCACACACCTCTACAACACGTGACCCACACACCTCTACAACACGTGACCCACACACCTCTACAACACGTGACCCACACACCTCTACAACACGTAACCCACACACCTGTACAACACGTGACCCACACACCTGTACAACACGTGACCCACACACCTGTACAACACGTGACCCACACACCTCTACAACACGTAACCCACACACCTCTACAACACGTAACTCACACACCTCTACAACACGTGACCCACACACCTCTACAACACGTGACCCACACACCTCTACAACACGTGACCCACACACCTGTACAACACGTGACCCACACACCTCTACAACACGTAACCCACACACCTCTACAACACGTAACTCACACAACTCTACAACACGTGACCCACACACCTCTACAACACGTGACCCACACACCTCTACAACACGTGACCCACACACCTCTACAACACGTGACCCACACACCTGTACAACACGTGACCCACACACCTCTACAACACGTGACCCACACACCTCTACAACACGTGACCCACACACCTCTACAACACGTGACCCACACACCTGTACAACACGTGACCCACACACCTCTACAACACGTGACCCACACACGTCTACAACACGTGACCCACACACGTCTACAACACGTGACCCACACACCTGTACAACACGTGACCCACACACCTCTACAACACGCAGCCCACACACCTCTACAACACGTGACTCACACACCTCTACAACACGTGACCCACACACGTCTACAACACGCAACCCACACACCTCTACAACACGTGACCCACACACCTCTACAACACGTGACCCACACACCTCTACAACACGTGACCCACACACCTCTACACCACGTGACCCACACACCTCTACAACACGTGACCCACACACCTCTACACCACGTGACCCACACACCTCTACAACACGTGACCCACACACCTCTACACCACGTGACCCACACACCTGTACAACACGTAACCCACACACCTCTACACCACGTGACCCACACACCTCTACAACACGTGACCCACACACCTCTACAACACGCAAACAAAAGACAAATACCCCCCCCCCCTCCCATATATCCTGAACAAACTATTGGGGCGAGTGCTATTAGCGAGCACCTATGAAGGTCAGAACAGCACACGAGGGGGTGGCTGGCCGACACCACGCCCGGCCCCCTTTGTCTCCCGAGTGGCGATGTTTACACAACGCACCAGCTACTCGTTTAACGCTGGGTCGATCTATGCACAAATACAAAGATGCCCCGTGTAGCCTTAACAGACTGTTGGGGCAAGTGCTGTTAGCGAGCACCTATGAAGGCCGGGACGGCACGCGAGGGATGGCCAGCACCACGCCCGGCCACCGCACCAGGTATCCATTCGAGGCTGAGTCTACCTACACGCGCACGTACACACACAGAGAACACAGAACACGCATAAACAAAGGCGGCAGGCAGCAACGACCGCCAAAAAAAATTACACGACAAACCGCGTCTCATTGTTTAAACCCACCCATCACATCTCGTCCCAAACTCCTCTTTGGCAATTTAGCATTCCTTCCACGGCCCGCTAACCCCAAACCCTCTACCCCCCCCCCCCCCAGCTTCATCGCCCTCCACCTTACCTCCCACCCACCCACCCACCCCTACCCACCCCCCGAAGAAAGGTAGATCCAAGTGAAACATCCTGAAGATTTTCACGTCTGCGCGTCAATAGCCAATTTGCATATCACGGGGCGGTGGTGGTGGTGGTCGGGGTGACAGCGAAGCCAGGCTAGTGGCTGCAGTTGCTTGTCCACATCACCCCCCCCACCACCACCCACCGACTCCACCCAGCCTCCACCCACCACCCCACCCCCCACACCGCCGCACACTCAACCCACAGCGCCCCCACCACTAAACCACTCCATCCTGCCTCCAGACACACACTCTGCAAGAGGCACCTCCTCCCCAAAAACCTCAAGACCCACACCACCCCACCCACCACCACCACCACCCCCCACCCACCCCCCCACGTCGCGTTAAAAAGGAAAAACCCGTGGCTGGGTCTTGCTCGAATGCCGGACTCGACTGGGCTATGACTTCGGCATTGGTGCTGCACCCGGGTCTGGGGGAGCGCGTCATGTTCCTTTACGACAACGGCGCCTTGGACGGCATCGGCAAGGGGACGCTGCAGCAAGACAGCATGGCGCCCGCGAACGCTGGACAGACGGGTTAGTGTGTCGTGGGGTGTGGTGTGTGTGTGGTGTGTGTGTGTTTCAGTGGGGGAGCGGTAATGTAGCGGGTAGCGCGCTGCGCTATGAACGCTTGCGACCAGGGATCGATTCCCGCTCACGGCCAACACCAGTGACGATTATCTGAACCGCTCGTGGGCCTCCCCTAGGTCGACTCAGCCTGAAATGAGTACCTGGTGCAGTGTGTGAACATCGCCACTGGGGAGACAAAGGCGGTCGGGCGTGGTGCTGGCCACCCACCCCCTCGTGTACCGTTCTGGCCTTCATAGGTGCTCGCTAACAGCACTTGCCCCTATAGTCTGTTAAGACTATACGGGGGATCTTTTTTGTATTGTGTGTGTGTCGTGGTGTGTGTGTGTGTGTAGTGGTGTGTGTGTGTTTGTGTGCTATGAACCTGGCGACCCGGTTCGATTCCCGCTCACGACCGACACCGGTGACGATTATCTGAACCGGTCCTGGGCTTCCTCTAGGTCGACTAAGTGTCAAATGAGTACCTGGTGCGATGTGTAAACATCGCCACTAGGGGAGACAAAGGCGGCCGGGCGTGGTGTTGGCCACCCACCACCTCGTGTGCCGTGCCGGCCTTCATAGGTGCTCGCTAACAGCACTTGCCCCTGCAGTCTGTTAAGGCTATACGGGGGATCTTTGTCTTTGTTTGGTGTATGGTATGTGTGTGTCGTGTGTGGTGGGGTGTGTGGTAGTGTGGTGTGTGTGTGGTGGTGTGTGTGTGTGGTGTGTGTGTGTGGTGTGTGTGTGTGGTGGTGTGTGTGTGATGGTGTGTGGGGAGCGGTGGTGTAGCGGTCAACGCTCTGCGCTACGAACCTATAGACCCAGGTTCGATTCCCGCTCATGGCCAACCCCAGTGGCCATTATCCTAACCCGTCCTGGGCCTCCCCCAGGTCGACTCAGCCTCAAATGAGTACCTGGTGTGCGGTGTGTATACATTGCCACTGGAGAGACAAAGGCGGCCGGGCGTAGAGCTGGCCACACCCTTTGCGTGCCTCTGCGGCCTTCATAGGTGCTCGCTAACAGCACTTGCCCCAACAGTCTGTTAAGGCTATACGGGGATCTTTGTCTTGGGGGGTGTGTGTGTGTCGTGGTATGTGTACTAGTTGTGGCGTGAGTGTGTTGTGGTGTGTGTACTAGTTGTGTGTGTGGTGCTGTGTGTTGCGGCAAGAGTGCTATTAACGAGCACCTACGAAGGCCGACACGGCACACGAGGGATGTGGGTGGCCAGTACAACAACAGTCTGTTACAGTCTACACTGGCGGATCTTTGTGCGTGTGTTGGGTGCGTGTGAGCGTTTGCGTGTTGGTTGCGGGTGTGTGGTGTATGAGGAACGGTGGCGCAGTGGTTAGCGCTACGCCGCGCTACGAACCCGGCTTACCCGAGTTAGATTCCCGCTCACGGCCAGCAACTAGTTACGATTATCTGAACCGGTCCTGGGCCTCGCCTAAGTCGACTCGGCCTCAAATGAGTACCTGGCGCGGTGTGTAAACATCGTCACTGGAGAGACAAAGGTGGTCGGGCGTGGTTCTGGCCAACCACCCCCTCGTGTGCCGTTCCGGCCTTCAAACGTTCTCGCTAACAGCACTTGCCCCAACAGTCTGTTAAGGCTATACGGGGGATATTTGTCCTACTGGACATGTGAAAGAGCTTCACATGTTCATCGGATTTCTCCAGGATAAATAAAGATTCTGATTCTGCGCGTATGGTGTTGGGGGAGCCGTGGCGCAGTGGTTAGCGCGCTGCGATTCAACGAATCCATCAAGGGCCAAGTTCGATTGCACCTCCCCCCCTAGGTCGGCTCAGCCTTAAATGTGTGACCCGGTGCGGTGAAAAAGGGCGGCCGGGAGTGATAGCAAGGAGCGCCTTCATCGGTGCTACTCCCTAACAAAACTTGCCCCAACAGTCTGTACGGGGGGATCTTTGTCTTTGTGTTTTATACATAGGTGGGGAGTAGTGGCGCAGTGGTTAGCGCACTGCGCTCTGAATTCCAGAAAAGCCCGAGTTGGAGTCTCGCTTACGCTCTTGCCAATATATCGGACGTCATTTGAAGCGACGATCTAAACCAGTTCCTGAAATCGACTGAAATGAGTGGCCTGGTGCGATTTTTTCTAAAATATCCGCACCGGGGGAGACAAAGGCGGTCGGCAATGCGTGGTTCTGGCCAGGCCAATGCCTCCCTTTGTGCGCCCCATGATAGACGCCATCCTCTGATCGGTTCTCGCAGCAGTCACTTGCCCTAAACTCCCGTGCCGGCTACGCTGATTATCTTCATATTATTCACAAAAAACTAAAAAGACAAAGATCCCCCGTATAGCCTTAACAGACTGTAGGGGCAAGTGCTGTTAGCGAGCACCTAAGAAGGCCGGAACGGTACGCGAGGGGGTGGGTGGCCAGCACCACGCCCGACCGCCTTTGTCTCCCCAGTGGCGATGTTTACTCACCACACCAGGTACTTATTTCAGGCTGAGTCGACCTAGGGGAGGCCCAGGACCGGTTCAGATAATCGTGTATTGGCCGTGAGCGGGAATCGAACCCGGATCGCCAGGTTCATAGCGCAGCGCGCTAACCGCTGCACTACCGCTCCCCACACACACACACGTGTGTGTATCGTGTGTGTGCGCGAGAGAGATTGATTGCATGTACAGTACTGTACGCACGATGGGGGGGTGGTAATGATTGCATCGATTGTGATCATGCGTCGTCGACGTCGTGGTTCATTCGCGCTTGTCCCGTGATTATCGTGATCTATACAATCATGAAGAGGCCGCTGATGATTGCATCTAGACATCGTCTTCGTATCTTCGGACAGCATCGTCATCATCGCAAACGGCACGCGTCATCATCTCGATAAAATTTGAACGCGAGCCAAGAAGGAACATCGCGGATACTCGCCGCTGTTGCGTGACAGTCTCCAAATAAATTATAATATTACCTCCATAATAATCATCATCAATATTGTCATTATCATTGCGTGCTGTGGCATCGCCACAGCATCGTGTACAACACCACCATCATCATCATCATCCTATCGATGACTTTGTCATTGCACCATCATTATCAGCATCGTTACCAACATCATCATCCGCATGCCTTCTACGTGGCTGGACTACTACACGCATCGCGTGCGCTTCAAAAGATCACAGAACACAGCCACCGTCAGCATCACGAGCACTGCATCGTCATCATCATCAATCTGCATCGCCGAGTTCTCTTAGCAGCGCGACTCCACCGCTCCCCACAATGCGCACACGTGTTCGTGTGTGCGCATTCGGTAACACAAAAACAAAGATCACCCGTGTAGCCTTGACATACTGTAGAGGGGCAAGTCGTGTTAGCGAGCACCTATGAATGCCGGGCACGGCACACGAGGGGGTGGGTGGCCAACGCCACGCCCGGCCGCCTTTGTCTCCCCAGTGGCGATGTTTGCGCACGGCACCAGGTTACTCGTTTGAGGCGACCTCGGGGAGGCCCACGACCGGTTCAGATAGTCGTCGCTGGTGTTGGCCGTGAGCACGTGTACACACACGCACGCACACACGCACGTGTACACGTGGCACACAATCCACCATTAAACACGTAGCAGACTTTCGCGACCAATATCGTCCACAATAGAGGTTGTTTTGGTGAGATCGCGAAAATATAAAAACGTCGCACTCGGAGTGTAAATGCTGTGGCTTGGTTCTCCAACACACCGTTTAGTGCTGTACTAGTGACGAATTGGCCACGTTCTATATACGTAACAACCCATACTAGTTGACTGTGTCGGGTGGTGGCGGGTTTAACGACACACGCGATCTAACCCAACACAGACCTCTAATATTGACAACTCACCATACATCCATCCGCGCGCGCGCGCGTACACTATCGTATCATCATCAATCAAATCACCCACTACCGCCACGTGTGTGTGTCTCACCCCCCTCCCCCCCCCATCGCTTGACAGACGGCGTGAAGACCTCCTCCTCGTGCCCACCTTGCCAGGCCCCGCAAGGTTCCCCGACGGCCGCCACCCTCGGCTACGGCTACCCCTTCGGCGCGAGCGGCTACTACGGCTGCCGCGTGGGTCACGGAATGGGCGCCCACGTGAAAGCGACCTGCGGATCGGCGGCGCAGACGGCGGCCGCGAGCCTCGCCTCGGGCTACGGGCCGCACTCGCTCGTCGACAAATACGTGCAGGACGTCTCCGTGGGACTACAACCGAGCAACGGCGTCGGCTCATCCGTTGCTGCTGGAGGCGGCGGCGTCGGTGGTGGCGGCGGCGGCGGTGGTATCGGTGGTGGTGGAGGCGGTGTCGTTGGTGGTGGTGGTGGTATTGGTGGAGGCGGTGTGGGTGATGATTACACGAGCGGGCGTGCAGCTAAAGACTTCGCCTTCTACCCCAGCTACGGCAGCGCTTATCACCACCACCACCACCATCATCAGCACATGCCGGGCTACTTAGACATGCCCGTGGTGCCGCACGCGTCGCTCGCCCCGCCGAGCGAAGGTCGCCACGACCCCATCCTTCACCACGGAATGGACGGATACCACCATCAGCCGTGGGCGCTGCCCAATGGATGGAACGGGCAAATGTACTGCGCCAAGGAGCAGAGTCAGCTGTCACACCTGTGGAAGTCGCCGCTCGCAGGTGAGGTCGGAGTGAGTGCGAGTGGCTGTGAGCGGCGTGGGTGTGTGTGTCTGTGTGTGTGTGTACACGGGTGTGTCTGTGTGTGTACACGGGTGTCTGTGTGTGTGTACAAGGGTGAGTGTCTGTGTGTGTGTACACGGGTAAGGGTCTGTGTGTGTGTGCACGGGTGTCTCTGTGTGTGTGTGTATACGGGTGTCTGTGTGTGTGTGTACACGGGTGTCTGTGTGTGTGTACACGGGTGTCTGTGTGTGTGTGTACACGGGTGAGTGTCTGTGTGTGTGTGTACACGGGTGTCTGTGTGTGTGTACACGGGTGTCTGGGTGAGTATCTGTGTACATGGATAAGGGTTTGTGTGTGTACACGGGTGTCTGTGTGTACACGGGTAAGGGTCTGTGTGTGTGTGTGTAGACGGGTGAGTGGCTATGTGTGTGTGTACACGTGTGTGTCTGTGTGTACAAGGGTGTCTGTGTGTGTGTGTGTACACGGGTGAGTATCTGTGTGTGTGTACACGGGTGTATGTGTGTGTACACGGGTGTGTGTCTGTGTGTGTGTGTGTACACGGGTGTCTGTGTGTGAGTGTACAAGGGTGGGGGAGCGGTGGTGCAGCGGTTAGCACGCTACGCTACGAACCTGGCGACCCGGGTTTGATTCCCGCTCACGGCCAACACCAGTGCCGATTATCTGAATCGGTACCGGGCCTTCCCTAGGTCGACTTGGCCTCAAATGAGTACCTGGTTGGGTGTGTAAAATCATCGCCACTTGGGAGACAAAGACGGCCGGGCGTGGTGTTGGCCACCCACCCCCTCGGGTGCAGTGCCGAGTTTTGTCTTTTGGAGGTGTGAGTGTGCAGGGGAGTGTGTGTCGGTGTTGTACACGTTCGCGTTGTAGAGGTCTGCGTGTGCATACGTACCTGCTGTCATGTGCAAAAATCACCACTGGGGAGACAAAGGCGGCCGGGCGTGGTGTGGGCCAACCCCCACCCCCTCGTGTGCCGTTTCGGCCTTTATAGGTGCTGCTCGCTAACAGCACTTGCCCCTACAGTCTGTTGAGGCTACACGGGGGGATCTTTTTCGTTTGTCTTTGGGCGCGTGTGTGTGTGTGTTGTGTCTGTGGGGGAGCGATGGTGCAAGCGGTTAGAGCGCTGCGTTATGAACCCGGCGTCCCAAGTTCAATTCCCGCTCACGGCCATCAACATCAGTGACGATTATCTGAATTGGTGCTGGGCCTCCCCTCGGTCGACTGGGTCTCACATGAGTACCTGGTGCGGTGTGTAAACATCGCCACTGGGGAGACAAAGGCGGTCGGGCGCGGTGCCGGACACCCACCCCCCTCGTGTGCCGTGCCGGCCTTCGTAGGTGCTACTCGCTAATAGGACTTGCCCCAACAGTGTGTTAGGGCTATTTGGGGGATCTTTGTCTTTGCGTGTGGATGTGTGTATTTGCGTCAGGGAGTTGTTTGTTTATCTCTGTGTGTGTGTGAGCGAGTGTGTGTTGTCTTTTATATACGCGTTTGTAAACGTTGTGTTTTTGTTGTATGTGTGTGTGTGGTATACTGCATTGTGTGTTTGTATATGCGTGAGGATGGGCTGTGTTTATGTATTTGGGTGTACGTGTGTGTTTGCGTGTTCGTGGGGAGCGGTGGCGCAGCGGTTAGCGCGCTGCGCTACGAACCCAGCGGCCCGAGTTCGATTTTCGCTCACGATCAACACCGGTGGTGACGATTACCTGAACCGGTCCTGGGCGTCCCCCTAGGTCGACTCGGCCTCAAATGAGTACCTGGTGTGGTGTGTAAAATTATCGCCACTGGGGAGACAAAGACGGCCGGGCGTGGTGCTGACCACCCACCCTCTCGTGTGCCGTGCCGGCCTTCGTAGGTGCTCGCTAACAGCACTTGCCCCAACAGTCTGTTACAGGCTACACGGGGGGAGCTGTGTTTTTGTCTGTTTCGTACGTGGATAATAAATACGTGTTGCGAGTTATATGTGTGTAGCAACACGTGTGCGTGTAGCGATGCGTGTGTGTGTGTATTATGTGTGCTTTAGTATGCTTTGCGTGAAATGCGCATGTTTTATAATTATTCATGTAAAATACATAGTCTTGTATATTGTTTACACTTTTCTGTTTACAATTGCATATTACATACACACACACCTGTGGCTATTACGCATGCTAATTTATGTACACACACACAAAGTTGTATAACGTCCGTGCGATTTATTTATACATTGTGTATATTGTATATATAAGGTTCGTAATTATTGTGTACACACGGCATACAAACGAGTGTAATATTGTGTGTATCTACATATATATGTACACACCGCGTGTAAATTGTTAATGAAATTGGTATGTATATGTGGAATATATATTAAGCGAGTGTATATATTATGTACAGCCTGTATGTACACAACACTACACACATAGTGTACATCAATGCCATGTGCTCATTGCGTATTATAATCCGTATGTAATCGTTACGTGCATATCTAACAAGTACATACATATATGTGTACATTCACAGAGTTTCATATTCTTGGTTATTTCGGTAAAGTCACGTAGAAGGGAAATAATAAGATAATAAAAATAAAACAATACATTTCTCACGACGTTTCGATTGCAACACAAGAAATCATCGTCAGGTGTGAAAACCACAGCAAGAAATGTTTTGAAAAAAGTGGAGCGTGTGTGTGTGTATATATATAGTTGTGTGTGTGTATATAAAAAGATCCCCCATATAGCCTTAGCAGACTGTAGGGGCAAGTGCTGTTAGCGAGCACCTATGAAGGCCGCAACGGTACACGAGGGGGTGGGTGGCCAGCACCACGCCCGACCGCCTTTGTCTCCCTAGTGGTGATGTTTACACACCGCAGCAGGTACTAATTTGAGGCTGAGTCGACCTAGAGGAGGCCCAGGACCGGTTCAGATAATCGTCACTGATGTTGGCCGTGAGCGGGAATCGAACCCGGGTCGCCGGGTTCATAGCGCAGCGCACTAACCGCTACACCACCGCTCCCCATATACACACACACACACACGCAACTGTAATGATGCAATGTAATTTGTGTGTACGTATCAAAGACGTCCACACGCATGGTGCGTGCAGATTGTACGCACTGTGTGAATGTGTACGTGCACGCTCACTCTCGTGTTGTAACGGTGGCATTCGTGAGTGTGCACACAATCAATTCCACAGGTAAATACGCGAACCGTGCGCATGCAGTCGATGTGTGCGGTATACGCACGGTACCGATAACCGTATTAAACAAAACAAAAACCGGTTAATACCGGTTACCGGTTTGGCCCCCACATGTAGAAATACTGTGCAGCTTCCAAAACACGTCTAAATCGGGGCTCGTTCATCCAAAATAACAAGGAGAAACATTTGCTTCGAATTCGGCACAACAACAACAACAACAGAAACTACAATATTGATAGAGCCTCAACGTATGCGATCACAGGACGCTACTTAATAACGTCAAACCGTACGTGCGGGTTTTTTTTGCGTGCAATTGCTATCTTATTAAGAAGGGCACGCGCGCAACAATGATTTGCAATACCGCGTCACGAATCGTTGTTGAGCTTGTTTTAGATTATCGAAAATAATTAGGAGGGGGAGGGGGGGGGCGTTGTGGTTGATGTTTTTGTTTTGTTACTTTGCAAATGGAGCTGTCGGGAGCTTCGAAGCAGTCCGCGTTAAAAGAGCCGCGTGATGCCGACCCTTGCGCAAGGCAATTACCCACCCCCCCCCTCCGGCTCCGCTCGGCTATCACGAAATCACACCGCGTGTCCCTTTACACCCAATTCACGCCGGCTGCGTTCATATAATTAAAATGCACGATGGAGCTCAGTGCGCGTGCGTGTGTACACGCGTTCCACGTGCGCGTGCGCAAACGCCACGTGTTCCGCGCGACGCCAGACCGCGTGACTTGCTTGGCGCGTCACGTGGGAAAGAGTTGAACAATCATCGGGCGCGCGCGGCGTGGAACGAGTCCGCGTGTATTTGAAGGCGGCGAGTTATGGTGAACCCTCGTCGGTTCGAGTATTAAACGGAAAAACGAGGCGAAAGTAAGCCACGCGGTTTGAATTGTTCGCAGAATAGCAAGGATTACAATTATTTAAAAAATGCAAAAATTCAACTTTAAAAAAGTAACCATCGGTTTCTCGACTTTTGAAACGGGTAAATAAATTCCTGAAACCGGTTCAACTTCATTACCGGTTTTAGTTTAAGGTTCCTCTACTTTTATGGATCGTTCTTTCTGCGCGTGCCCCCAACACAGACGTAGTAAGCATGTACGCGTGTGTGTGCGTCTTGCACACGTAATTCTACATATCAAATACGTACACGCTTAACGTATCAGACACATACACACTCATGAGTATCGTGTCTGTGCGTATACATATCTAATGTAAACAATAATAAACTATCTACATAGACACGCGCATACTTTTCAAGGTAATCGGGTATCCGATGCAATACTCCGTAAGATTTAACCGATGTCGAAAATGTATTTAAATCAATACGTAAAAATCCAGTACATGGTCTTCAACACACCATACATGTTCTAGATTTGAAGCTTTCGTGATTGCAATAATTCATACTCTTAGGTTTTTTCGGTAAAGTCACGTAGGTAAAAATAAAAATAATAGAAATAATAAAAGAAATAAAATGATAAATCACGACGTTTCGGAGGCAACACAAGTCTCCGTCATCAGGTGTGACGGTCCCACCTAAGAGTATACACCTTACATGGTGTAAGACCATAATACCCATATTGTATGGTACACTTAAACAAACGTACGACTATCGTATGCAACTTATGTAATTTTTACTTATATATACTTGATCTATTTTAGGTATTTTTATTAATTAGTAATTTCCTTTTACTTTCGTTGTGTTGAATTGTTTGTTGTTGCAACTTTCTGCCCCCCCCGCCCCCCACTGCACATCTGTGAAAAATAGCTTCATAGCTCATCGGATTTCTCCAGGATAAATAAAGATTG